GACGATACCAAGTTTCAATGAAATGTGCTGCAAGGCATAAAATAATGACCTGTGTAAGGTCAATTTTTTTCTTTATTAAAATGCAAACTACAAATTGTTAAAACATTTAATTCATTTGATAGTAATCGTGTGTTATTGCCAATTACAGTTTTACTGTACAATTTTCCCACTTTGATATTAGACTAAAATACCAACAACAACAAAACGTTGTAGTTTAGTTTAAGCATAGTTAAATTATTTTTGAAATAATTGGCCACCAAGGGTGACTGGGCCATGAAAATATGGTCATTCTTGGACTTTTTCCGAAGTAAGACCCTATCAGAGTGGAGCGTCTGTTTGGCTGTGTAAGATGTTCAAGTACGCAGCGACGTCCGGTAAGAATGGGATTCCGAAATCCAATGTCTTTTGTAGATAGAATGCCACGCTCTCGGATTATGAACCCTTGCAGAAACTCTGGGTGGTCTGTAGGTGGATTGTTACGAGGCAAAACTTCTGTTCCTATCCAATATACCCTCATTTTCTAGTGGCAGTCCAAATTTCCCCGACCTTCATCCCGCACTGCCTCCATTACAGGACCTACTAATTGTATTTATCATTGTTGATTTGTGCGTTCTGATGCATCAAATATTTGCCACTGGACGTTAAACAACTAATAACCAATCAATCAATCAATCAATCAATTAGTCAGAAGGGTTGTTAATTTATTGCTACAATAAACGGACATAATGTAAGATAAATTTAATATACAAAACTTTTTATAACAATTTTAAAACAAGCCAAATTGTAGCACAAATATGTTTCGGACTATTGAAAAAGTATACAATCGTGTTGACCCACACCGTATTAAAAATCGGACTCTGACCAATAAATGTCCATTTTAGTACATAAACATTGTGTGCTCTTTGAGCCATTTCGGAAATTTTTACAAGGGTATATGCCTTTTTCTTTTACACAATCAAATTCAAATACTCTTATTTTATAAAGGTGAACAGCCACGTACTTTAATTGAGGGCGGGGAATAATATTATCCTGGGACCTGGTTTTCGAAAGTATCTTGTGACTAAGACATGCCTTACGGTGGTCTTAGGACATGTCATAGTCGTAAGATATGTTTTCGAAAGTGTCTAAAGTTACGATATGTCATTACTTTTATCGTATACTTAAGACACCTCGCGACATGACTTATGATGGTCTTATGATTATCATAAAAGTTAAGACATCACTTTCACTGATTAGTGCCATTTACTATATTTATCTTTGCACATGCAGCCTCCCCTGCTATTTTTTCACCTTTTTTGGTTTTGTTGCTCATTCTGCTAAATAGTAAATATTTATTCTTTTCCACTTCGCCAATTAAAATTTTAATCACCTGCGACTTAAAATTTTGACTCCTTTTCTTACTCATGATTATGTATAATAAATATATATATACATATATATATCATTTCTTTCCTTATATAGTAGTTTGTTAACGTATTTGCACGAGCATTTAGCTTAGCGGGTACCCGATTTACCAAATCTTAAAAGTATTCACTATTAAATAACACTTCATGTATAATAATACATGACTAGAAGTTCTAGAATTTCAATATATATATATATATATAGAAACTTAAACAAATTGTCAACTCAGATTTTAATATATATTGTTCATATATACTTTATTGTTCATTTTAATAATAAAAAAAATATTTGTTGATAATAAGAATGGTAAAAACAAATATTTTAATACTTATTATTTTCATAGTAATTTTATCATTTTTTAGATCATTATTTAAAATAAAAGAAAATATTTTCACTTATGACAGTCATAAGAGCATCATGGGTATGACTATCTTAGGACAGCTTTGATTTACATTCTATGACATATCATATGATAGTCATAAGATGGTCATAAAATCAGTCCTAATATATATTTTATGACATATCTTAGGATACTTTCGAAAACCAGGCTCTTGATTCTCAGACAAACATAAGGGAGAAAACAATTCTTCTGAATAAATCCGTATAAAATTGTTAAAAAATTATCTGCTTTTCTGAGGTAAAAATGTCACGAAACAAGAGGACAAAAAACTTTTATAACTAGTTATGATTTGATAAGATAATTACCAAATGACTTGTATTTTTCATACACCGTAACAATTCATTTATTTCTTGCTTCATGCATTTACTGTAACATTTTTAATGTAACTGGACAGTGACTACTTACAATGTACGCTTATATCTAGATCAATGAGTAGTATTTCACCCTATAATTGAGCCCTTGGGCGCAGTTATACCTAATACAGGGGTGTTATACAACCTTAAAATATGCATTATCTTCAACTTACACCCCAGTTCTATTGTTATGCTTCATAGTTTCTATTTATGAAACAAGTGTAAATTGAATAGATCTATTGTTACGAATAACAATTGATTTTGACCACAGGGTGTGACGAGCGGGGTTTCTGGAAACCCCTGCTTCTACATCCCGAAAACACAGTCCATTGTTATTCATAACAATAGAAATTGTTTTTAATAACATGAACAAAAGAGATTACTAATAGTGTTCACTAAAAGTTGTTTCAAGACATATTAAAAAAACATATTTTCGGAAATTCCAACAGCGAAAAAAATATTTAGCATCTATTTTGAATAAAAAAAATCATTTAAATAATCCTTTGCTTGAAGCTAAAATTTTAATCCCATTATGGCAATGACTTAAAGAACATACATGTATAGAACTTTTATTTGAATTATACATTAAAAACATAAGTATATTATAGTATTCATTTGACTAAGTTTTAATCATAAAATAAATATTAATGTTTGGATAGTTGAAGACAAATGATGGCACCCAGGGGCGGATCCAGCCATTTTTAAAAGGCGGTTTCAACCCAGGATAAAAGGAGGGGGGTTTCCAACCATATGTCTCCATTCAAAAGCATTGATCGTCAAAAAAGGAGGGTTCGAACCCCCGGATCCCCCCCTCCCAAACCCCCCCGGTGTTCCTACATATGCAGTCTGTAAGTTAAGTGTGTCCGGTCGTCGGGTTTCTAATCCAGTCACATCTATCCTTCAGTATGTTCGAATATGAATGTTTGTTTAATGTTGAGAAAGGGGGGAGGCTTTTTTTTATAAAACCGTAGTATGTAAAATACATTTATGATTACCTCAATTAAACTGATACATGTAAGTACTTTGGGTTATAAATATTGCGTTATCTTCAGACTCTTCTGTCAAATCCAAAGCCTGACTCAAAATGTCGTCCGTCTTATACCCGTCTATATTGACAACTGCATACAAGGAGCATGATATATTTTTTTGTAATAAAAATGCACGATACGGCCAACCTTGACCTGCTGGTCCATATAATCACATGCATTTAACGGGAATATGCAAAAAAGGCAACTTTGTCATTTGTAAAATCTACTCACTTGTCAAAGTGTGAATGAAGATCGTCAAAGAAAGGTAACTAGTGGGGTTTCATTTAAAAAAATATGTTTTTTTCTTATTAATCATTGTTTGATATTGTCAATAAAAATGCTATCCGTTCTTTTTCATTTAAAATTCAATATAAACAAATATAGTGTTTAGTATCGGGTGTAAGTTAGTTATACACTTCGGGATACGGTGTGTCTGGATAAGAAACCACTCCGGCCTCCGGCCGTCGGGGTTTCTTATCCAGACACACCTATCCCTCTGTGTTTAACTATTACGGAACGCATCGTTGTTGATTGTTTCTTAATGTCACTATACCATAAACTTCGACAACAAACTCGAAAGTTAAATAGCTTGCGATCAACAATCACTGAACGAAATATTTTTTGTCGATGACAGGTTATAGATTCGTATTAAGGTGGATGGGGGTCTTAATTAAAATCCATAGAATTTTTTAATAATTTGTCAAAATGTAGTTTTTATCATGCTTTTTTACAAAATATAATAAAAAGTATGGGTCACCGGACTTTTTTTCACGCTAGAGGTTGTGCAAAATTGTCAGATTTTGTATAGATTATGCATGGAAATTCAATTTTGTGTGATAAAAAGAAAACTACACCATAGAATTTTAAGATAAAATGTGAGAAGATAGCTCTTATAACATGCTTTCAGATAAGAAAAAGAAAAAATGGGGTCACCGGACTTGTTTTCTTGCTACATATTAAAATAGGTAAATTCATAACACTTTCTATAAAAAAATCACTTTATCTGAGTTATCTCCCCTTATGTCGCAAAGTTGAAAAAAATGAATCAACAAAACAATGTATTTTTTTAGAAAAAACAGCCGTAAATATGATAAAACACATAATTTTCTATATTAACATGAAAAGTCTTACACATGAATTACATACTACTCTCAAAATTTGCACATATCATTAAAGATATAGACCAATTGTTCTGCTACTTCAAAATACAAGATGGAGGAAGACACCCCAGCCACCTTAAATGTAAATAACTAGTTTAGTATATATGCATGCGTAATATAGGAGAGGGTTGAGATCTCACAAAACATGTTTAACCCCGCCGCTTTTATGCTCCTGTCCCAAGTCAGGAACCTCTAGCGTTTGTTAGTCTTGTGGTTTTTTTAAATTTGGTTCATTTATATGTTTCGGAGTTTAGTGTGGCGTCCATTTCGCTGAACTAGTATACATTATTTTTAGGGGTCAGCTGAAGCCTGCCTCCGGTTGTGGAATTTTCTCACTGCGTTGAAGACGGATTTGTTCAATAATTGCATTTTAATCATAATAACAAGAAATTCGTTTCATATGACGTTAAGAACTGGTTTAAAAGTTTGTAATTTGTTTGTTATAAGCAGAGAATACATTTTTGCTATTTTTGGTCTATTGCAGGTTAAACTTTCATGTAAGTAGTAATGATCTTAATAGATCTTTTTACCGGTGGTACAATATACACATCAAACCGCTTATGATATTACAGAAGTTTAACCGTCTATCAAAAAAATGTCTATACTTTGCAAACATGTGATGTCTTTTCATATGTTTTTGCTTCGTATTTTACAGATAACCTTACACCAAATGGCACCGCATTGCAAAGTTCTGTGTTTAATAAACCTGATGGTAACCCGGAATATGCCATAAACCCACCTATATCAAACAAATTTACTTTGCAAACGTGTTCCCACACAAGGCCTAAAGGTGACAATAAACCGGCTTGGTGGATGTTTCAATTTTCGTTTGGATCTGCACATATCACAGATGTAACAATTTACTACAAAGAAGGCCGTACGTATACACATAAAATGCATAATTATAAATATCATAACAGGTTTTACCGAATTATAATATTCTTTGATACATGTAAAATGCAGTCCTCGGGAATATGTTTTGTTTATGTTATTTATGAAATTTCAAATTGCTATCACTCAATTGATTCAGAAAAGATTAACAAGAAAGTCGTTCCGTCACTGATTTAGTATTTTCTTTAGAAAAAAAGTTAAAGTTGTCATATTGAGCATGTTCATTCATATGAAAAGTTTCACAAAATTAACTGGGGTATTTATAACCAGAAAAGACTAGATACAATATTAAACATGCATGCACATAATTTGGAAATATAAAAAAAATATAGCAACCGATCATAAAATTTATGATTTGTGTAAATAAGCTGTGGAGGATGAGAATCAGAAGAACACAAGACGGATAATATTAAATGTGACATTTTAAACAAAATTGTTCAAGAACTTCATAGCCTTGTGTCTTTGGGCAAATTGTTGCCTTATATGTGAATGTTTTCGCTTTGACAGATAATACCGTTTATTTGGAAACTTTCGCGTGTGTCAAATTTTTTGCTATGATATTCTCTGGAGACATTTTACCGCAAAATTTGCACTACGCGAACAATTCTCTTGTAATTGAATCCATTGTTAAAGGCCATGACAGGCGAATAATTAATTCACGAAGATTTGACTGCCCTATCTAAGGCCAAAATCGCAAAAATAACCCGATACATGTATACTGTATCCTAAAAGGCAAAGTTTATCTTTTATCACTAAATTGATACCTTTTTTTGGGGGGGGGGGGGGGGGGGGGTATATGATATCTTTTTTGGGGGGTATACTACCAATTAATGGTATACTTCCAACCTACGAGGATCTCCCCAACTTTTTTAATATGAAACAATAAGTATTTATTTTGATTAAATCTTATCCATAGAAGCGCCTTTAGAATATATATATATATATATATATATATATATACAAGTCTAAATTGAAAACAACGTTCAAACCTATGATTGCGTTGGATAAAAACCGCAATTTTTATACATGTGCATGCAAAACAAATTTCTTGTTAGAGGGGTCTAAATACAGCACAAACAACATTTTCCAAAAGACCAAAAAAGTGAAAAAGTATATTTTAACAAAACGCATTTGACTAACAGGTCGAACAACAAATGTTCTTAAACCCTGCTGACTGCCATTGGCGATTGCCAAATAAACAGATCACCGATGTAATAAATGGATCTTAATCTTAAATTTAATACTAAACAGAAAACAATACACTTGCGGAAAAGATGATATACTGCCAACAAGAGGTGCAAAGGTTTTTGTACACCATATCCGGATTTCGACAAATAATGTTTCTTCAGTGATGTTAGGAATCGAAACGGTATTTGGAAAGCCCAACAATTTACCTCAATTTGGGATAGACTCTTGAATTTTGAGGAGTCAAAATAGGATGAACGGATCATATAAACCCTAAGGCAAAATATATATATATATATAAATGTCTAAGAATATAACTTAAACACGCTAATTAATACATTAAAAAGTTCTATTAGATTTTAAATAGAAATACGCAATATTTCGCTAAACAAATAAGCTTCATCAGGCGTGTGCATCTCTCAAGGTGAAATCGGATGCATGACAAAAAAATATTTTTGTAGCTTGAACTACACAAAATTTGAGTAAAAGTTTAACGTATTTATTGATGTTCTATAAAAAAATATATGTTTGTAGCTTCAACTACATAAAGTTGGAGTAAAAGTTTAACATATTTATTGATGTTCGATAAATTGTATGAATTTCTATAACAGAAACACCATTTAACATCCGACTAAATAACCATCGGTCATTCTATACAAAAGAAAGAAACTGCTCAATCACAAGACATCTTTTAAGAGCAGGACATGATTTTGAAAACGTCACATTTCAAATCATTGAGAAAAACCAAAATTGGGATACACAAGGAAGACAAAAGAGAGAGAGATTATATATATATATAAAGGGTGCCAAAAAGCTGAAAAGTATAGCATCCACACTAGGGGGACAATCATTTGATTCTGATGGTGTTTACAAATATTGGAAATAGATATTCCGGTCCCCACTAATAAAAATATAAGGCGATGTTGTATGATTGCCAATGTGACAACTATTCACCAGAGTTCAATGAAGTGGATAAAAATTATTATAGGCATCCCTACGGCCTTCAACAATGAGGAAAACCCATACCGTATAGTCGATAGTGGTATGAGTGCAAATGAGACAACTATCCACTAGAGTTCAAATGAAGTGGATATAAGCAATATATTATAAGTTGGAAATAAACAATTATAGTGCGTTATTGCAGATGAAAATATTTTTTCGGAACGCTTCAGTCGCCATATATATATATGATTACAGAAGTAATGTCAGTGACAGATTCAGGAGGCAAAATAGGCGTACGACCAAAATATCCTTTTCTAGAACCCTGAATCCTTGAGTGATCGTTATCCTATTATCTTTACTATTTCAATAGAATCAAAATTCTAGACATTTGGACTGCTCTTTTCTTTTGAAGTTGTATGCGTATCCTACCAAAAAATGGAATGCATTTCTTAAAGGGACGATCATTTGATTACAAGCTTTTTTTTCTGTCACTAAATAAATAATCTGAGCGCCTTTAATCTGGAAATGAATATTGTGACTTCATCAAATTTGCTAGGGCCCCGCCCCCTAATTCAATGGTCGTTTTCAATAGGGCACTGAAAGAAAATCCGAATGGAGATGGTGGTGACCCAAATCAAATCTTATCGTTTCAAATGCATAGTTCTGTATTCTATATTTACATTTTTTTAACGGGATTAACCTTCATTTACGTCATCAGTGTCTGAGCAGAAAGTTAATGAACCAGGGTTATTTTAAGGAACTTCTCGTCCTTTTTCTAAAAAAGTTCATCGGAAGATACCAAGACCTTGTTGATAAATATTCCGTATCAACTTCACAAATACTACATGATGGTCTTGAAGTATAGATTCTAGGTACTGACGTTGTTTATCATCTTAATTACGTGTAATAGTTTTCTTTTGATATGTTTTGTATATTTTAAACCTTTACTGTTTAGTCCTTTTATGGTAATATATATTTGGCGTTGCTCAGTATATATACATCCCGCCATTGTGTTATTGTGCTATGGTCATTTTTTGTATTCTTGTCTTTCATTTTTGCTTAAGTGCTATGTCTACTGAGTGTCTATATGCCATTTTGTTTTTCTTTGTTGACATAGTTGTTTGTTTTTATCGTGATTAAGATTATAACACAATGTTGAATGCTGTACCCCAATTTTTGACATTTATACCTATTATATCTGTTTGTTTTGCTCACACATTGTTGTCAATATAATAGAATTTTATTCGACTGTCATACAAGTGAGAGGTTTAGTTAGCTATAAAACTAGGTTTAATCCACCATTTTCTACATAAGGAAACGCCTGTACCAAGTCAGGAATATGATAAGCTTTTGAAATACAGGACTTGGAGTTTTTTTGTAGTAGTACTCATGGTGACTTAAAAAGAGCAATTTACAGAAAAAAAATCTTTTCAAATAATCGATATACTATAATATTTTATTTAAAAAAAAAAGAATTCTGAGAAAAAAACAATCTTTTATTTCAAATTGCAAAACAAGTAAGTCCTTGGTCCGTGTTTATTTGCGTCCATTCGTTTTTCATTTTGAAATATCAAAAACAAAAACAAAAAACGAGAGTGTTTTCATTTTTCGTTTTTGATTTCTCAAAAACCAAAACGAAAAACAAAATTGTTTTCATTTTTCGTTTTTGATTTCTTAAAAACCAAAACGAAAAACAAAAGTGTTTTCATTTTTTGTTTTTGATTTCTCTGAAACCAAAATGAAAATCAAAAGTGTTTCCGTTTTTAGTTTTTGATTTCACTAAACAAGAATTTTGCATTTAATTTTAATTATTTCTCGTTTTATAATGTACAATGTTTTCCTTTCTTGTTTCACAGTCATTGATAGTAAATAATGCCAATGTAAACACCCCGGTGTTCTTTCAACATAATGTAGACAAAATAGACCGCCTGACTTATGAATTGAACTACGGTGATAAATGAATCAAAGCCTTTCAAATTACCTTGTTTATATCTTTAATAAAAAATAAATTATTATATTTAGATATTAAACGAATCATAAATTTAAATTGTTCAATATAAAATTATATAAAGATGGTACAAATAAATAGATTGATTACAATATCACATTAACAAGGGAGGTTACTACTTTTAAAAACTTATAAGAAAACTACCCCGGTCGTTGAAGTATACATGCACAGTCACTGTGGTTATCAGATCTTTAATCGAAGATAATGTCGACGGATGCAAAAGACTTTACCAATCTGAACAATAAGGGTGCGTGATCTTTACTTTTAAATTTAGAAAGGTTGATCTCAGATGATTAGAATTCATGACCGAGGTCCATTATACGAACATTCGGGACGATAATGTGTTTTGCTTGATCAATTGATTGAAAAACAAATTTCCGCAATTTCACAATTCGTACCGGGATTAGCATTCAATCATTTTGCCATTCGGAGCCTACTCGGTATTAGTTTTGCTTATTTTTGAAAGCTATATGGTGACCTTAACTAGAGCCTGGGTGTGGATGGGTGTTTACGGAATAGAGAATCTTGGGCAAAAAATATGAATAATAGAGACAATGGACCAAGATATAAAAAAAAAATAGAATAATGAGGTGTTAAAATATAAAGAGAACAGAATTATTCCCAAAAAGTATAAAGAAATAAAGAATAGAGAAAAATTGCCTGAAACACTGATTAAAGAATAGAGAAAATCGGCATAGAATATCAAAGAATACAGAAATGAAGAATCCCGTATCCAGACCATCATCCTAGTTGCCTAAACCAACGTTATTTTGTCTCCGGTAGATTGTTATTGGTTATCATACGTTTTCTTTTTATTTCTATGCCTATCAATTAAGACGTGAGCTTTCATA